GATCATCTGAAGGAGAACACTGGTAGCTTGTAGTTTGGGTTTGAAATATATCTTTTGTGACATCAGTCCTGGAACCTATGTGACACACCTCGTGGTTTGCAACAACGGTATTTGTCAAAGTAACTTCCACATCAGGATTCAAGGTTTCCCAGTAGAACATTGCTCAGAGCATCACACTGCCTCCACCGACTCGCCTTCTTCCAGCAGTGCATCCTGCTGCCATCACACACACACTCAGCCGTCCACATGACGCAAAAGACGACGTGTTTCCTCAGACCACGCTACTCGTTTCCATTGTTCCATATCCAGCTGTAGCTCTGATGCTCACCTGCCCACTGGAGGCACCGTCAGTGATGGACAGGGCTCATGGTGGACACCTTGACCTGTGCGCAGCCCCATGAGCAGCAAGCTGTGATGCTCTGTGTGTTCTGACAGCTTTCTATCATAGCAGCATTAAGGCTTTCAGCAGTTCGTGTTGCAGTGGATCGGACCACACAGGCCAGTCTTCACTCCTCCCGTGACCCTGTTTCTGGTTCGTCAGTTGCACTTTGTTGCACTGTTTTTACCGGTACTAGCCGCTGTATACCGGATCGCCCTACAAAGGTGCTCACAGAACTCACAGCAGGTGAATTGACTGTTCACCTGCTGCCTAATGTTTCCCACCCACTGACAGGTGACTTTATACAGACATAATCAATGCTGTTCACTGCTCCTGTCGGTCAGCTGTCGGTTTCGATGTTGTGACTGGTTGGCAGATAACTCTTATTTTCCTAAAACAAGTAAAATAGCAAAGATGTAATTTTCTGAACTGTAGTGAATGTTCCTTTGTGTTTGATTTATAAAGTTTTTTTGTTGAAGAGACAGAAATCAGGGATGAAGATCAAGGATCTGGGCAATAAAATATATTCAAATATGTTTGTGTTTGTAATTTGCATGAAGTGACCCTTTAAAGACCTTCCTACATGATGTGTTCACGTGTGCCTTAAGCAGAAATAGAAATAATAGAAACATGCCACTCAGCTTTGCTCTGGTGGTTCTGACTCCACATACAAAGCCTTTGTGTCTTGTGTGCATTGTTAAATCTGCATTTTTCTAGTTGTTTTACAGATTCTTTGTGTGTGTGACAGAGAGATAGCGGCTTTATGGTTCGCAGGGTTTTATGTTTATCATCTAGCGTGTTGCCGTCCGGCCCATCTGTTGCCGTGGCGGCTGGTGCCTCTGCTTCTCCGGGGCGTCGACCCGACTCGGATCAAGTGTAGGTTTTAGCGGCGAGCGATCAAAGCTGCTGGCCGGGGGCCCGAAGCCCCAGGCTGGGTTTCCCACAAATCTCCTGCACCTCCATCAGCACAGAGTGGTTGGGCTGCTCGGCACGTTCACCGTTCTCTAAATATTCATGAGTCCCCACTGCAGGGTCTTAACAAGGCTGAGCGGTTGAATAGCGAAGATGTGATCATCCACACTGTGAAGTTTCAGTTCTTTCTCTCTATATAGTCATAGTCACGATAAAAAATACGATGTGAGGTGTTTGGAAGTGACGTTTACTGAGATCAAATGATTGTCAGGGTAAAATCTGTGGAGTCTTTACAGACGCTGATTGTCGTCCATGAGTCTTAAAAGCCCAAACAGACTGCTTTGATTAAGGTTCACGATTAGTAACTAACCCTGGACGTAGTACTGCCAGACCAGGAGCCCAAAAGTGACTTGCAAGCACTGCTTCCATCGAGATCTCAAATTTCTGAAAAAAAAAAAAAGTCTGAGTCATTCAGGGGCCTTGAGTCCTTTTGCAGCAACACATTTCTGTTTTATTAGTGTAATGTGACAAAATGAAAAGAAAGAAATATTATATTATGTTGCTGCATAAGTGAAAGAAGCTTTTTATGGCTCCGGAGTGAAGTGTGGGTGAAACTACACCAACTTTAGGTTGTCACTGCAGACTGTGAGCCACAGCCACTCACATTACAGAAGTGTTGGTTGACTTGTTAAGTTGCGTCCCATCGTGTGTGTCGGTGTACGTTGTGAGTCTGACAGTGTTATAGAAGTACACGGCTAAATCGGCCAAACAAACAGATGAAAACTTCAAACCTCTGGCCACTGATCAAAGCCGCTCTAGAACAATCACAACAATTAACCAGCATGTAGCTTTGTGGTGCTTAAATTCAAATCGTCCCCCTAATGCTGATAAATTCCCATTAAAACACAGCTGTGGTCTGCTGATGTGATTACATCTTTAAATTTCTCCCCACTGACAACACAGCTTAAATATGTCTGAAAATAAATAACAAGAATCTGCTTAATAAATGAAAATAAACTCACCTGAGAGATAAAAGATGTGAGGCGCGCTAGCTCGCCAGCTACATCAACAACACTCCAGATCCACACCACCTGCCTCAGAAGACGCCTTAAACTAGAACTTTTTTTAGATTTAGGAAAACTGTTTCTGACACATGGGATTTCCTAAATTTTCTCCAACCCAGCAGAGCTCTAACAGACCGACATGTGTGATATGTGAGATGCAAACATTGTACATTTATAACTATAATAAATGGAGCTTAAATGTTTTTCCTCTGGTGCAGGGAGCCCTTTTTGGGGATTGGCTTCTATTAGAAACAAGCTTTTATCTTCTCATTTCCCCAGTTATTACAAGTTTAACCTTTCCTTTGTTTTTACCTTGATAAATTTAATATAATATCCGCTATTATGGCGATGTCATACGGGACCTTTTGTCTAAACTAACATCATCGTTCATGAAATAAACGCTTGTTTTAGCTGCAGCAGCTACACTGCAGTATTCTCTTTAATATCCATCCGTGCTGGTTTGTGCTGCGACTTTCCTGACTATTATTCAGTACTGCCGTTATTTAAATATCATTTTTTTAAAATATAAGAATTGATGGTCTCAAAAAAAATATAGATATAAGATGCAATTTTCTCCAGAGTTGCTAAAATTGATTTAATAATCATAGAATTTGTAACACAATGTGTGAGCTGTTTAGGGGTCGGCTTGTGTGTGCTGTTGGCATTTTTTTAGACAAAGTTTTAATTATTCATGTCAGTGGAAAGCTTAACAAATAAAATAAAATTAGAAGTTTCTAAGTAATAAATCAAAATGATGTGTACAAATATGCATTGACTTGAATGCAACTATGCAGCAGTTTTAGCTTTTTCTTTGAACTTAGCCTGTTAAGGGTACAATGAAGGAAAAATAAAAGTGTGGACATATTTTTAAAAAACAAATCAGGATTATAGAATGTCCCCAGCATCTCAAAGAAAGGTGAACTGTGTCAATTAAAGTGAAAATCTCCAGGTCCTTGTGTCCTTCCTGAGTTGGTCAAGGAGCTGTTTGACTTCTGAAAGTTGTTTCATGATAAAAGGTGGAAGCAGCAGCATTAATCATCCAGTTTAGCTCCATCCTTCCATCACCGTCCTCACTCCTCCTTTAATGAGCAGGACTGAGGACATGAAGGGTTTCCTGCTTCTGTAAACTTGAGTGTCTCCACTGGTTCTCCATTAGCTCCTTTTGTGTCTTTATTAATAGAGTTTCCTTAGTCTTAGACTGCAGCAAGTGATTATTGGCTAATTATAATTATTGTTTGAATTTTTGTTCTAATAAATCCACATTGATGGCTTTAAGTCACTTGTTTCGTTCAGCCAGAAGAATGTACGACTATAATCAGTTGTTCAGCTTCAGAAATGACTTGATTGGTCTTTATGTCTGTTATTCTATAATGTTTATGTCTGATGAAAGAAAGAAAGAGATTGAGGATTCTTTCAAAGAATGTAAAGAAAAAAAAAATTGTCAATTCACTTTATACAGTTAAAAGATTTGCACAAACTTTTGAACTCAGTCAGACCAAAATGTGAGATTATTATTACACAAACATGCTGTGCAGCTGAGATGCATTTAAACTGCAGCTGCAACAAAATGCTGCCTTGAATGATGTCCTCCACATTCCTTTGAGGATTTAAAACTTGCCAAAGAGTGACTACACCCTACCCAGCATTCATTAGAACAGGTGTGGTTTCCATTTCTGTTCATGCATCTAAGGTGTTAAACTGTGTCCTACGGGATGGTGACAGTTAAATTAGAAAACCTGAACGCTTGTCCTCTGCAGTGAGACGGGTGGCTCTGTTGTACTGTGGGGGGCATTTTTGCTGCCGTCCACCTGTCTCCTTAGAGGGAAGAGTCACTGCAAATCAATACAAAGTTGATGTGAGTGATCGCCTTTATCCTGTGATGAAACATTTCTACCCTGATGGGAGCGGTCTCTCCCAGGATGACAGTGTCTCCGTCCACAGGGCACGAGGGCTCACTGAATGGTTTGATGAAGGTGAATCACGTGTTACGGCCTTCACAGTCTCCAGATCTTAACAGATTGAAAACCTATGGGACAATCTGGACCGATAACAGCATTCTCCACCAACCATCATCACAGAATATCTTTTGAAAAAATGGTGTTCAGCTCTTCAGTAGAGTTCCAGAGACTTGGAGATTCATTGTGAAGCAGCAGAAGTTCATCTGGCAGCTTACTGATAAACTTTATTTGTCCCTCATCTGTATGTTTTTCTCCTTGGCATCTTTTTTTAAAGTTAAACTGAGGTTCATGCGATCTGAGATGTGTTACAGCTGCAAATCTCTGCATGTCGGGTGACGTCTTCACTTAATAACAGCTTTATTTCTGCAACACTTTTCAGACAAAGTCAAAATAATTTGTAAGCAACTTCCATATAGAGCATCTCCTGACTGAGCTTTCAAATACACTTGAAAATAAATGTTGCTGTCGTCTGCAACTGAGGCCTTTCAAGAACACTCATGCATGTGGTGCATCTGGCAGATATTTAATACCAGCAGATGGTGGACAAGTCTGAGAAACTGAATCGGAAGTTAACTCCAACACTTCCACACATGAGCATATGTTACCTGCTGCAGAGACGCGCCAGGTGTGCAGTTGGTTGAGTCCAGGCATTAATGTCGTGTGTATGCCGGTGATGTGTGCGTTCAGATGGAGATGGAGCTGCAGCTGGAGGCCGAGCGGGAGGAGGAGGCGGCTCGGCAGGCCGTCCTGGAGCAGGAGAGGAGGGACCGGGAGCTGGCGCTGAGGATCGCCCAGAGCGAGGCTGAGCTCATCCCCGAGGAGGTGGCCAACGACGGCCTGCGCAGGTAACCGACGCTCTGCAGCGCAGTCACACTGTTGGCTTTTTATTTTTCTGTTTTAACTTGTGACACTGTATGTTGTAGTCAGTGGGAGGATCATTTGTCTGTCTGAACTTCAAGCTCGTGGAGGTCTGGAGGTCACTGAAGCACAAACATGAAAGGGAACAAACAGTCTGAGCTTTTGTTACCTGTAAAAACCAATAAGAAACAGGTTGTGCCCCACCAAAAACAATAATACAGTGCTTCCTGACCTGGGTGTTAGAGTCCCGTAATGGAGGACAGGAGCTGTGTTTGCAGGATTGTGAGGACCTCTCACTGAGGCCTTTCTCACAGCTTCTGCTCTGTTTCTACTAAACTTTACCTGCTTTGCACAAAATCTGGAGAGTCTGCTCAGGACACAATATCAAATCCAAGTTCAAAGGAGCCTTGTTGGCTTCGGTGAAAGCTGTTCAGGGTGACCAGTTTTTCACTTGTTGCCAGAACTGTTTCCTTATTAATCATGTATATCCAGTTTGTTAAACACACTATGTTCCATGTTGTTACGTTCCTGCTAAAATGAACCAAGAGAACATCAGTAGGATTGTTCATAGGACAGGATAGAAAGACTCTAATCTTTTCTCTTTTTTCTCATGAAGTCAAAGTAAAAAAATTTCAAATAAACTCAAAAGTTTTTTTTTTCTTTCATGGCTGCATATCAGAACCAGAACCACTACCCTACTGGGCCCTGTACTGCTCAACACAGTAAAAATAAAAAAGAGAGAACATGAGATGTAGGAATAGTAATTGTAGTAATAAATAATACATAACACAAAGTGTATAAATGTGTAAATTAGATTAAGCTGAAGGAAAAGTTTAATGTGACTCCACAGTGAAGAGAAGGTAGTTTAACAGTTTAACAGAGGACTGAGAGAGATGTCAGTAATTTGGCAGTATTGTAAGTGTACGCTGAATGTAATGATGGTAGATTGCGGAAAAATGATACAACTTCTGCAGAAAGAAGAGGGATTGTGTGTTTGGATGGTCACAGGGAAGGTTCAGTGCAGCACTTGGTCATTCTGAGTCTCTGGCTGAATGAGCTTCTCTAGAAAACCCAAACGCTGTGCAGAGGCTGGAGATGTTGTCCACGAAGGAGAGGAGTTTTGAAAACTCTTTGGGACTGTATGCAGACGATCCAGCTTCTGAGCCAAAGACTGAGCCGACCTTCTAAAACTGTTTACTGAGTCTGTTGGTGTCGCCCACCCAGAACCAAACCTCAGCTTTTCTTTGCCACTTCTGGACTGTCATTTATTTCAATCAGATCGTAAACAACTTCAAAGTTTGTGACCTGGATTTTACAGAAAAATGTATTCGTGTTTCTCAAATGAGTGTAAGTAGGTACTGATGAAGGTGTTATTGTGGCTCTGATACAGACACTCTTGCAGGCTTCATGCTGACGTTGGGAAACCACTAAACTACATACGTGGTGCTTTTGTCCAGTATTTTTCAACTCAGTGTAGATTGTTTTTATCGGATTTCCTTCAGACCTCCATGAGCTTTACGAAATAAAGTTCTGGCTTCACAACACGAGATGTTTGATTACCGAGCTGTCTGTAGATGACTGTGAATGTTTGACTTTAATATCCCGATGTGTGATTCAGTGCAGCGAGAACTAAATGTTTTCTGCTGCACAGTCCGGTTTGTTTGTATTTATGTGTGATTGTTTTAGGATTAGAGCTACAGAGTGAAAGTCATCGTATAAACTCCTGAACCCCAACCACGTTCAGGGCATTTATTGCTCGTTTTTCATTGCTGTGTGAACCTTTATGGAAACAGCACAACTATGACAAGAAGGAGAGAGAACTCAAAAATATCTTCTGTGCAGCGCGACACAATTGTAATGCCATAAAGCATCTTTAAAAAGAAATGGAGTCAACAAGTATAACAATAACTTTTCATTCTTGTCTTCTACACAGCCTGCAGTTCAGCCAAAAGTCCACTAAGTCATTGTCCCATTGGTGGCACTAATAGCTTTGTAGTCGCGCAGAAGAGCACAGAATCTGGTGAAAGCTTTTTTGGCAAATCTTTAAATGAGAAATAAGGTGATTTTGATGAAATATCATGATTTTAGGCTTAGATTTGGTTCATAATTCTGACTTCACAACATGCCACACACAATTCTGTCAGAAAAATCTTAGTATTTACTTTCTGGCTCTGACAAATGGGGCAATTTTGCCAAAAAGATAACATGTTTTTGAAAGCCTTGTTGGGGTTCAGAGGGTTAAAAGAGCTGCTGTGACTCTGAAGTTGAAGATTGTTCAGTGTGATCAGTAAAAAACAGTGAAAGCAGAAAGTCAGGTTGAAATGTCAGATTCCCTCTTTCTCTGTTTTATGTTTTGACATTTTGTAGACTGTGACTGTGACTGACTCTGTGCTCCTGCAGCCCTCAACGTCCGGACGTGTTCTTACACGACAGAAAACTGTTATTTAAATCCTTCTTGGATAGCAAGCTCCACTGGAGCATCCTTCATCTCCATCTGATCCTGTGTTTAATCATTTTCTTCTTCTTTGTTTCCTTTTTTCCCCTCAGTAATGGCTCCTCAGTTCCATCGTCCCCAGAGAGAGCAGCGTAAGACCCGGCCATTTAACCATTAATTTAATCCCCTATCCCACCTGCCCCTGACCTTTCAAACCGTAACGAACCCTGCATGCTGTAACAATCTGCCAGCACAGCACCCTGTTCTCTAACAACAAGATGCTGATTCCAACTTACAGAGGCACCAGTTTAACAGAATGCACTTTTGTTTTGCAATTTCTTTACTTTACTTTTAAACTCAAGGACTTTCACGTCCAGATTTTAACAAAGCGGTGAGCATTGGTTTGATTACCGTGCACCAGTAACATGTGGTCTGGGCTCATATTTATCAAACTTTTAAAGGTTACACTTGTACAACATAATAAGGAGACACATCAGGAGTAAAATGCTCTTTGCTAATAGTTAAGAATTATACATTTATCAAATGGCTCCTTCTTCTTACGGCAAAGTGTCAGCTTGACCTTTAAGGAGGAGCTCTCAGCCCTGTAGGTGAATTTATAGTCTCAGGGATTTAGTTTCAATCTGTCTTTTGAAATCAAATCGTGCTTTCAGAAAGGAAAAATTTAATTAACAAGCAATGAAGCGAGCTTTTACTCCGTTTCGTTTTGCTGCTGCAGCTTTCCTTTGTCTCGTAGGACCAGCAGTTTATGGTGGCTAATGTTGACAAATGTAGGCGAGAAGTCTGTTCAGTCGACTTCAGTCAGTAGTTCATTCATGCTTGTTAGGGATGCTGTGTGCAGCAGGTGACCACGGAGATGAGCTGATACACGCTCAGTCATTTAGAACAAAGAGGAATGCTGTACGACTGAAAATATCTCAAGGCTGTATTCTTAAAAATGTTAATAACCGTAAATATATAAAACACAGTTCACAGAATAAGAGAGTCTGTTTTCTGCTTGAGCTGCAGTTACAATGAGATTTAAAACAGTAAGTAGATCCAGCAGAAGACGTGTTAATCGTTTGCTGTACGCTCACCTCAGGATCATTAATGTCGTAAAAGAAGAATCTCAGAAAATAATCTGCTTTCTGCAGTTACCACTCGTGGCCACAGAGTTCAGCAAACATCACTAAATAAAATCCTCAAACGTTTCTCTGTCACGTTATATTCAGCTAAAAACCTTTGTGTTTTCAATTTTCAATCATGTGTCGGCTTTATTTGGATAAAACTTCTGCAAGTTGTTGCCGTGATAAAGAAAAAAAGTGCAAACCAGAAAAATCAGCCAAAACCTTCAAATCAGAGCTTTTTTTTTTTTTTCTTTCTTTCTTCCTTTGTTTGTTTGTCAGTAGTTTTTATTTATTTTTTTTTTTTTTTTTGTTCTGTATGTCTCTCCCCAAATAACCTAACATTACAGATTTTAAAGGTTCATGTTGAAAAACTAGAGCGTAAACTCCAGTGTTGGTTATTCTGTCGTTCTAAATTGATGTGCATTGATCATCGCTGCCAAAGCTGTTTGATACAGAAATCGTCTAGAATCCAGCCGACCTGCTCTTGGCCTCACGATCATTACAATCCAAATGATAAAATGATAAATGCTCATTTTACAAATAGGATTTCAAAGCATTTTTTTTTCTTGATCTTTAAGACTCAAGTGTCACTTTGAGCAGTTTGATAAATCCGAGCCCCGTCCTCTGATCAGAGTTTGGAAGGAGAATCATTTCCTGACGAGCCGCAGGGGAAAAGAATCACCTTCCCCGTCCCTGATTGGTTTGTTATATTGTGCTCTGCTGCTCCGTCTTATAATCCTCTAATCCTCTGTTTACAGTGCTGCTGCAACCCCAAAGCTCAAGAGCTTGACCATGTAGGTTTCCTCTCACACCGCACACCAAACACCTTCAGGACACTGTGTGACGCAGCTGTACATCCACGAGACTTACATGTTTAGAGAGGCGGCCATAGATCAGACTCCCTCCACTGCAGCCTGCATGCAGTGATTCTCATCGGTTCGGCTCAGGAACAGTGAAAGCAGCTCGACGATGCTTCCTGAGGTGTTAAAGCTCTCAGCGTCGCGGCCCGTCGTTCGCAGGCCTCAGCCTCCCTCACTCTTCTCTCAACACTCAGCCCGAAGCGACCCACATGTAAAGTCATTCTGGAAGTTGAAATTGATGCTTGACGTCGTGAGTCAGCTGTAGCAGAGGCCACATTACACCGTTAGGCACTTTGAGGATGCTAAGAGTGGTGTGTCGTAGCACTTTACACTCCGGGTGGTTCCAGTCCACAGCCCTGTTCTACTCTATTATGGTTTTTCACAGCGCTCTTTTTGAAGTTGCTCGGAACAAATAGCATGTTTTTTTTTTTCCCCCCATACAAACTGAAAATGTAGCAGACTGTGGAGGTAAAGCAGGAAGCAGAGCGTCCTCAAGAGTAAAACTGCAAATGCATCTGTGTTTGCATTGAGGACTTGCAGATGTGCTGCAGGATGACAGAACAGACGAGCAGATAGGAGAATCAAACAGAGACATTTAAAACGGGATGCCACTTTAATGGGAGTGTGAAGCCACATGCACACTTTGGTCTCTGACACATTCTCACATCATCACCTTCTTTCACTGCTGCCATCCTCTCCTTCACCTCCCTCCTCTCAGACTGTTTTTGTTTCTTTGTTTTTTCTCCTCTTTTCCTCCTTGCCTTTGTCTTGTTTTCCTTGAAGCCCCCGTCTCCTTGACACAGTGTTTATGCACTACTATATGTTTTAGGCAAATGCATTTTGCAGGAGCCCAACTGTAATTGCTGTCTGGATCATGTTTCATGGTCACTTACTATGTAATTAAAACGTTTCTTTTCCGAGCTAAGCAATCTCATCGCCATTCAAGGCCATTTTAAGTGGCTCAGCAGCAAGTAAACACACCACTGTTCATATGGCTTCTCATTTGTTGCTAGTTGAACCTCTTACATTCAGTTCAGTTCAAAAGCTCGTGCATATGAGCGCTGTACATTCAGTTAAAAGCCCTGCAGCCTCAGGATGAGTGCTGCCGCGCCTTCAGCTTTCTTTAACCAGCAGCAGCTGTTTTGGGCCTGATTTTACCTTTTGTCTGATTAATGCTTAATACGTGTAAACCTCACAGCACCAAGGTTAATGGTTTGAGCTGAAGAAGACACTTATACCATGAAATGTTTTAGCATGAATTGCTTAATCTGTTTATCTACTGGAAATATAGATTATTGAGTACGGAAATCTGCTCTGGCCTTCAGTTTACACACGATGAGCTCAGTTGTAGTAAAAACAGGGAGACAGTTGGAAGATACTTTCATCAATTTTAGAACAACAGCAGCACTTCTTATGAGTCGCCAACAACTGCATTTATATGGCATAGATCTCAGTTTGTAATTGTTCCACACATGAACAACTATAGACTGCAGCATCCACACAGCAGGAGGCGCCTCACAGCAGTTTTTATAGTTAACTAAAACTAGATATGAAAAAACATTCTACTCAACAAAATGACTTGAAGTAACAACTAAGCATTAGAGAAAATAAAAACTAACTCAACTAAAAATACATTCAAATATGTCTTTTCTTTAAGTGTCTAATAATTAGGTATCATTTGTCATCACAAAAAGCAACAGACGGCTTTAATTCATGTTTATTGAGACTGAGATGCGTTCACAGAGACCGAAACTGAAGACTGAATTAAAAAGCCATAATGAAAGTTTTTGCTAAGCAACCCACAAACTCAGCAAGTGTTGCTTGTTCACATGTACCAGACAATGTTGCGTGCCCTCAAAGACTTTGGAGGATAGCACCGCCTCATGGCAAGCAGGTACTACTGAGGTACAGAGCGGTATGCAGTGAGAATGAACGAACCTGTGAGCCTGAGCTCAGGGCAAAGAAACCCTGAAGTTACAAATTTCTCATGGCAGAAGTGAAGCAAAGTCATATGTTGACTTGTAACTGGTGATTTCTCTGTATTTCTAGACCTTGTAGCCAAATGCTTAGACTTTTCACCTTTTAGTATCTTTGTACGCTTTGACACATCTCACTACGGACACACCGATTGAGATGCAGACACACAACTTTCCATACACATTTACAAATAGTTTTGCTGCAGTAATATCCCCATATGTGTAGTTGTAGAGTCTACAGTGAGCTCTTAGGTCAGCTCGTCATGAACACGACACGCTGCAGCGACTGGAACTTTACAGTGACCTGAACAGTTCTGTCATCTATCAATTCAGCTGATAATACTTTGAAAAGTTGGTAGTTGTGATGGATTTCTTTCTAAAACTTAGCACTGCTGTTGACTTTCTTGTTTGCTCTCTGATTGGACGCTGATACTATCTAGTGACTGATTTGCACATTACTGAAGGCTTTAATAGCTCAGACTTCTCCTGAGGCCAGCCTCTGCATCGGCTGACCAATGTGGACTTTAAATGTGACCAGAGGACTCACACACACTTTCATCCATACTGCATAGTGCCGGTCTGCTGCATAGACGTGTTGTATTGTCGCTCACAGGGAACCCACAGGGCTCCTGTGGATGACTTTGTGCTTGTTACTGGATACAGCAGCTAGTTGCTAATTTGGCTGCGTTGTTGTGATTATCTCGGAGGTGTGCCGAGCGCGGTGGAAGGGCAAAACACAGGACTTCTGGAGAATTTAGAACTTCCTGCTGTGTTTGGGCACCGTTTGTTTGGAAAAGAAATCAAAGCTCCTCCAAAGTCCTGCAGCCACTACAGTCAGAACTCTGTTAATGATGAGTTATAAAGGTGTGGATGACGGAGAGTCTCCTCGTACAGCATCTCTTCAAAACAAGCATTTATTTTGAGCACCATTTGTTTTCCTGGAAAGTCTGTCAGTCAGTTTGCAGTGGATTATCTTGCAACTCAAAATTTGTGACTTTGCAGACGAACTTGAGCAGATGACAAAATCTACGTCATGCAGACATAACATATCCTTTACTCTAGACCGGTGCAATCCAGTTTAGTAAGTTGCTAATTTCTGAAATGTTATGCACAAACCAGATATGAAAGATTTATGCACACTTGTACAGAACACCACGAAAAAATGTGTTTAATATTAGGGGAAGGTGGTCATTTTGAGTAAAAAATGAAAGAGCCAACTGCTCTCATGTCCATGTCAGGTAATAGCTGAATTCTTAAGTATTTGTTGAAGAACGGGATCTTTCCCAAACAACTGCTGACAGAAAGTCTCACAGATAAAAAGACAAATGGTAACCATGATGTTGTTGCTATGAGCCAGTATTACAGAAAACTCATGTGAATTTATTGCATATGTTCCTGATCATGTTTATATAGAACCATAATCCAGACAGCATTACATTTTTTTATTGTATTTGTTGTTGTGTAATAGTAGTGTACAAACACCAACTTCTTTTCATCTGCCCTGTTTCTCCTCTCGTCCTCCTCTTTGTTTACCCTCATACTATTTTCCTCCTTTTCTTGTTTTTCCATCCTACTTTTTCTCTAAAACAGTATTTTGTGTTGTAGAAAACACAACAGACAGAAACATACTAACTTTTTAAACTGGGACCGTCATGCTTTTTAGGGAGGAAATGGCGAAGGAAATGACTGAACTTCTGGCTAGGTGGGTAGAAACCGTTCGTACGAACCAAATCACAATCACACAATCAAATCGCTTCTGTTTTCTTGATATAAATGATTTGTAATGAAACAGAGAATTCAGTATGGAACCAAATGATTCTGTTGATTCTTGTTGATCAAAATGTAATTCAAAGACTGTGATTTGCAGGGTTAATTCCCTCAGAAAGGCCAATAATATTTCATGTCGGTCACTGAACTCTTTTTTTTTCAGTGTATCCACTGAGTACAGCAGTCGACATGCAGCCCTGCTGACCTTTACAGGGTGAAGGAGCTGCTTGTTAAATGTCATTCGAGCTGTTATTTCTTTGCTCCTTCACTTGTCAGCTGCAGATGTTTCAGCTGGGTTTTAAAAGTCTACGTCTCAAAACCGTTTTCAGTTTTAGGATTTTAAAGGTACAAACTGTGACTTCCCAAAGGCTGAAACTTTAATGAGGGATTTTGTGTTCCTGCTTGGAGAGTTTTGGAATTGAACAGCTGATTGTTTCTGAATAGCAAAGCACTGAGAGCATCTCCAGCCGCTTGATCCAGCAACGCTTTAGTCAAGTATCAGAAAAAAATGGATTCTTAAAGTAGAATTTGGGACACAAATGAGTTAATATTCTTAACAAATACTCACTTGCCAGTTTTGAAGCCTTTTTCTTTATCAGAAACAAAGTCCGGCACAGCCAGTCTTCTTCTGTTGGCACGTAGAGCAGCTTTTTGGCATTTAAAGGCCAAGTTTGTAATTTTAAAGACAAAATCAGCTTGAGCTGAATTTTGGGTTGAGATAATAATTGTCCTAACTCAGTATAAACTATTATATATATAAATGAAATTAAAGTCTATTTTATGCAAACATTTCTGAACAAAACCTTTCAGCATCGTTAACTTCAAGAAATGTTCGTACAGACTTCCAAGCCTTATTGAAAACTCCTCTTTTGTTGGCGACATTAAATCTTCGTCTCTCCAGGTGTAACACGTCCATCGGTACATGAGCCATCTCCCACATGTTTTTGCATTCTCCACTGCAGACAAAACAGCCATTTCTAAATGCAAATTGGCTAAAGATAAGGAGCTTGTCTCTCCTAGGATGGCCACTAGAGGATCCGGATCCCACTGCCTCCCAGAAGCCTTTAAAATGAGAACAGTTTGCTGCAGGATCAGTTCAGTTCGTCACCGTAGATTTACATCAGCGAGACAGAGGTGGTGCAATACGAAAGAAGCTCCGTAACTCCTCCCTGTGCTAACAGAGATTGGAAGTGAAAACCTCCCAGGTGACCTCTGACACCTTGGTCCAGAAAAGCTCCGAGTGATTTTTAACCTTCGGCGTCCAGCGAGTTCAGCAGGTAGAAGTTACATGGCATGTCTGTGAGTGACTGAGCACTCTCATCAGATTACCCTGTGGTATTTTCCACTCGTGTTCCTGTCAGCATTAGCGCAGGTGTGAATGAGTGATGTCAGCTGAAGCCCTGCCAGCCTCTCCTCCTGGTTCCTGCGTTCGTCTGTCTGCAGCTAATTGGCTCAGGCCGCCTCTCGCTGTGCCACAAACACGGAGCGACAGGAAGTAGGAGCAGAAGGTGACGGCAGCGCTCAGCCGCTAAGCTCGCTGCCAAAGTCACCGTGTGCTTCTGAGGGCGCCTCGCAGCCGCCCGGGTCCGAGGCCAGCTCCCGCTAATCATGAGTGGTAGAGCCACCCAATAGGATTAGAGCAGCGGCAGGGTCCCGCCTCCAACTTCCCGGTGTTCTAAAAAGGGCAAATCCCGGTCACAGATTAATCAGGCCTGTCAGCAGCACCGCCGAGGAGCGAGCAGCATGCCAACAGCACGGCCCACAGCTGGAGGGGAGCTGTACACTTTATACTGTCAAACGGTCATTTATAATTTACCAGAGTGAGCTGCCACTCCACAGCGGCTCCACACCGTCATACCAGAGGCACTTTCTGACGTCCTGGCAACTGGAACAGCATGCATTTTAATGATGTTCTCAACCCTTCATTGTTCTGTTGTAGCAATCTTTCTCTTTCCTTTTAACATCAGCGCTGCTATAATCTGACACCCAGTTTTCCTCGCTTTCACCTTGACTTCTGTAATGAACCTGTAGCCGCAACAACCCACTGTTACTTGTCTTCATGCTGTGGAATCTGTGACTCCTGTCTCACCTGATGCCTTCACTTGGGTGGAGTTTACTGTGGAAAGTGTTTCAGTGAGTGAGTCTACATGAACTCTGGAGGGTCCAGGTCACGCTTTAACCATCTAAACATCTTATTGTTTCAGAAACTTTAATAAAAGTCCAAAATATGCCACTACTACATAACTACTGTTATGAGGTAGTCGGTAAAGAAAAACAAAAAGTGACATATAAATCCTGATCAGTTTACTGAGATTAAAGTCTGGAAACCAAACTGAGTTCATCTTCCTCTACTGGAGGAGAAAAATGTTGAAACATTCACACCATTTGTAATCTGTGATCAATTAGAGGTTAGTCAATATCTTATTCATACTTTATAGATACATGTAAGGACATAAAGAAGAACGACTTTCAGGTTTCTAGGTTGTAAATGAGTTTGTTTTTTTGAGGCATGGACAGTTCGACCACTCATCTTCTGTAAAGGTGCTGCAAAAGTTTATACCTGTGATTGTGAATGTCAATAATTCACTAAAAAAACCTTCAGGTTAACAAGCATAAGGAGTTTACAAGTGTTTGTCACTCACTTTTACAAAGAAAAAGGGTAAAACTGTCCATTGAGAGGCCGTAAAAGTTATTCCTATTGGTTATAACTGCTCTATTAAGTATTAATACATTGTTTATTAGCCAATAATAAAGCCATTAATTACAGCATATAAACACTTTATTAATAAATGTTTGTAACTGATCAGTAAAGTGCTTGTAAATGATTTATTATTACCCATTCACAGCTAGCGTGCACGTAAACTTACTGGTAGTTGTCAGTCTGGCCCCTATTACTTATCCTGGTCCAAATGTTAAATGATCTTTCATATGGACACAGAGAATCTTTCCTTTAAAAAAAAAAAATCTATTTATATATATATATATATATATACATATATTTTTTAGATAAGTTCTTTCCTTCGTCTTTTTAAAAAGCTGAAACATGATAATGGACTTTTCTCCCATTACTTTAAGATACAGTCAGTGACAGTCAAATTACAGCCTTTCATCATATTTTAAACCAGAAGTGCACTTGGAGAGCGCAGTCCCAGGGTCAATGCACTATCTCGCAATTTTAAATAAAGTGATCTGGATCTGCACCAGAACTTAATGGGTTCTTCCTCTGACCGAGCTCCACTTCCCCGCTGTGTTCCTTGAAATTCGGCTGGGTAGTTTGGCTGCTGCCAGACGGACAAACATCATTGAGGAGATTCCTCTGCTCCGGCTCCATCACATTCAAAACTCAGTGAGAGCTTGACATACTTTCACTTTTGATGTCTCCCTGCAGCTGTTGCTGCTACGAACCAAATAAGCCAAAATGAGCAAATATTACGGTAAAGTACTCTAATATGCTGCTATCATGTTTCAGCTTTTTAGAAAGTCTGCTGTGAGAGAATCCGCTGAGCGATGAAGGCCAAAGTAACAGAAGCTAACTTCTCATTCAGATGCTCTCTTTGACCTTTGTTTCTTCTGTGGTTAGAGTTATATTTCACAAATTTGAGTCAAAACGATAAAAATCTCTGAAGGCTAGAGCTGGCACTTTGGATTATTGGTATTTTTTTGTGTCAGCTTCATGGTCATTGCCACAAATTGAATTCAGACATATGAAAGTGAAAGTTTTCTTCTTCTTTCTGGCTCTCTCAGTAAACTCCACCCAGGTAGTTTGATTGAAATGAGGCGAACATCCCCGACCTCAGATCTCCTGTTGCCGGTTCCCACAGTTTCCCACTGTGGGTCTTTGTGTCTGACTAGCTGCCTCCTGCTTCTGTTCCCTGTATTAGAGGTCCACAGGTCCAGGCCTCCAAGGCTGCAGCTACAGCCAAGAAGCACGAGCTGAGCAAGTGGAAGTACGCTGAGCTGCGGGACGCCATCAATACCTCATGTGGTGAGTGTCACGGATTTGTTTGTCATCACAGCACATGAGTCATCCACATACTCAACAGTAGATTCCTCCTGAACACATCTGTACCAAGGCGACAAGATGTTGCTGGAATTCATCCCAAATCAGTCAAGGATAGCCACCAGAGAACCGTGAAAGGAAGAGTCAGGCAGTACCTACACAGCTTGTAATCAGTGTGCTGTCGTTGGTTTCCAAAGAGGTGACAAGACTGAGATGAGATTTGACTTGAGTTTCATGGTCCTCAGAGGATAAGGATGGACTGCTGCTCTCACACCAACACCAGGCCAAAGGTCTTGCTCAGTCAGTGCTTCTGTTCATAAATAGGTGTCTCGTGTTTCTATGATTTCTGTTGTGTTCTGGTTTTCGTGTTGCCCAGAGGATGAATCCTTAAAAATGTAGTGAATGTCTGACTCCTCATGTGCCTGCATATGACCTGTGTGGCAGCATCTTGGTTGGGGTTGATGTTTAAAATCCACTTTGGTCCATGGTATGATATCTCGAAAAGCTTTTGTATGTCGGGAGAAATGTTCGCTTGTGCACACAGTGTTACTAGTGTTACATTTACTTGGTCCATTCATGTCCCCAGAGTACGAACCCTTCACTCTGGTGTTGATCAATATCTCACTTTTTCACATATTCTAATAAGCAGATTGCCATGAAAGCACATTTAAGTTCCCTGAATTGGTTGGATTTAACGGCCCCATGAGCTCTGGCAGTAGATTATTGTCCAAACTTTCCTTTGAAAAATATTTAATTCCAAGTCGAGGTATCTTCCAAAATTCATGACCAGAGTTACATGATCTGGATTGTCGGTGGATCCGTTGTTTGCTGAATTTGGTGATTTTGTGTTAGTTTTTTAACAGGGCAAATTGTCTATGGCAGATTTTGTGATTTTCATGGTTGAACTATTTAAATACATTTAGTTTGACGTAAAATATCAAACTTTCATCGTCAACTCAGATATTCTGAGCATTCATGTTTCTAAGAAGTGAAGCCAATTATATTTCAATCACCCTGTAATCTCAACTGTAGCTCTGCCATCACACCAAAACACTAGATTTAAAAACACTTTTTTCAAATCTGTTGGGAATGTTTCTGATCCTCAGAGGATGAATCCAAACATTTTTACTGGTTTCCATCTCGTACCATCATTTGGTCAAACTTGGCTGAAATCTGAAAATCAAATGGGTAGCTTGTCATTAGATTTAACCCTGTTTAGAACTTTTGGTCTCTTTTGGACCCCTGGCCATTGGTTTAGGTGACAGGTATTGTTTTGTTTTGACCTTCTACGTATGGCAACATGAGAGTCCTGAATAGGGTTAATAACTGACAACTAATGAAACTTTGGTTACCATCATGAGATGAAATGTTAGCTTAGATAGCAAGATAACTAATAAAACCTACTGACCACATGCCTGCATCAAAACTGATTCAGTCAATGACTTGGTATCTTGAATGGCCAGACTTGTTCTTGGTCCTCAGAGGATGAATTTAAGTGCATTTCTAATGACTTTTCTCCATCACTGATGTCAGAATAAACTCACCACTGATACAAATGGAAAACCCAAATCTGACTGACAAAATGGCAAAATTGATGAACTATTTATATTTGGACACTCTGACACTAAGTGTTGACTCTTGACGCTGCTCAGAAGATGAACCAATCTGAGTTTTACTGACCTTGTGGTCGTTCCTTTATCTTAGCTGCCTGTCAGATTAGCTAAATGGTCAATAAGTTTGTTTTTTTTTTCTAAGTTCTCTCCTCTTATTCACAGCAAATGGACATCTTTGACAGAATTGTCCGCCGCTGCTCACTTTCCACACCACTTACTTTTATTTTTGTAAATGCTGCCTCATTTGATGAGCACTTCTGTGATGTGGGAGTGAACTGCTGGTCGAGCAGAACACAGAACAACTCTTTTAACTAGACTCATCATGATGATACCACAGCTGGACCCCGTGTATTTGCTTTGTCAAACTAAAATCACAATGCCAGGTGTCATCGTTGTAACATATCAGAGTGCTGCAGCCTACTTCACCTTTACACTGACATTTATGAAGCAGCCCATGATCTTATCCAGGCCAGTTTAAAGGTGTTGCCTGCTGCACTGTAGTATTATTGAATCACTGTTATGTAATCCTGAAATGCTACATTAAAAAAAAAAAGAAGATCTGTCACGTCCTATTGGTTTCTGCTCTACATGTTGCAGCATTAGTCAGATTTGAATCGGCATTGGTAGATCACACACAGGAGGACTTTGTTGTATTAATATTGTTAGCTTACCTTGTCATCTTTTACTTTTTATGCAACATTTGTCATTAATTAGTCATAACCGGGAGGCTGCTGTTAACTACGTTCAGGCTACAGCTTTCACTGGTGTACTAGTCGTACCTGCAACTTTAATTAGAAGGTCGACAAACACACAGTCTGCAGCCACAAATGATCTTTTCATGTGTAAAATAAAACACAAGAACCACAACAGGAAGACTAATGTGACAAACTTCTCATTTTTTAAATTTGTTATAACTATGTTTCAGCAGATTCTAGCAGAGTCTAAATCTACAACTACCACTCAGAAGAATCCTTAAATAAAAACTAAGACCAAATTTGTTGTGTTTTATACGTTGAACAAAAGTTAAATTAGTAGCAGTCAATTAAAATAAGTTAAACTAATTAAACAGCCATAAAACAGCTTGAAATAGGATGAGGTAATGTGGATTTCTTAAAGTGTAACCAGGAGGAAAAGGCTTGACTTGTTGTCACCATGAGGTTATGCTTAGCATAGGTAGAAGTTTTGGCAGAGCTTTTAAATTGGTTTGCATTATATTGCACAGCTATAAAGTGTGTTTATGTGATTACCTTCTGAAACAGAACATTTATCAATATTTGTTTGTGTAGAGGAAACGTTCAGGTTCATGTGTTTTGGACAGTACAGCTCTGTGGACTTTGGAGGCTACATATTTAAGAATATATACTGTTTATACACAAATAAAGAAGAAGAAGAAGAAGCTGAGGAAGCACGGTCAATAGTACATTCATCCTGATTTTACAATATACATTTGGTTGGTTGGCAGGTGAATCTTTAGTCTGTTTCTTGGTGGAGTCTTGGGATTGTTTCGTCACAGTACTTTGAGTCTAAATCAGGCTGAGGAGTGTGTATATACAAGATGGACAAGCCTCCATGATGTTGCCCACTGGTTTGTGGACTACTGCTCACACATCTGTAGGGGAATTCTGGTAGATTAATAATAGCAACTGGACTTGCTTGAGTTTCTTGAAGACGTTTCAGCTCTCATCCAAGAGGCTTCATCAGTTCTGACTGACTAGTTGGGAGTTCCAGATACTTCTATTCTTTAGGAGCCATTAACACCTGACTTTCGGTTTCATTTGGGGTTTGGGGGTAATTGCTCCTCCCCCTCGTTCATTAAGGTCTTTTGTGAGACCCACAAAAGACCCAAATGAATTGTGGCAGGGGGAGTACTAACGACTCGTATAACGACAGGGAGGAGCAACAACCCCCAGTTAAAACCGAAACTCAGTGTTAATGACTCCTTAAGGATATAAGTATCTGGAACTCCCAACTAGTCAGTCAGAACTGATGAAGCCTCTCGGTTGAGAGGTGAAACGTCTTCAAGGAACTCAAGCAAGTCCAGTTACTATGATTAATCTACAAGAATAACCATGACCTGGATGACTGAGAATCTTCACAGACATCTGTAGGGGAACAACTTCACCACAAGTATACCTGCTTTATGTCTGTTTTTCTATACAACACCATGCTGCATTTAAAAGAGACTTGAAACTAGCAACTGAGACCATGAACTCATCAGGAAAATGTTTGCTGAGATAACAGCTCAAGTAAGAAGGATGGTCATTTTCTCATAGACTTCTATACAGTCTGGCTTCTTCCTGCAGCCAGAGGAGTCGCCCCCTGCTGGCTGTTAAAAAATGCTGGTTTAAGGCGCTGTTGCATTTGGTTCACTTTTCAGATCAAAGTCCATTTATCATACACACTCTCTGCTCAGTGGTTTTTGTGGGCTTTAGTTGTGCTGGTAGTCGGATGTCGTTACCTTTGATTTTGGACAGAGTCGCTGTTTTCACGTGTTTCCAGCTGTTTGGCGATAGCTTCAAATTTGCTATGCAGACGTGAATCTTGTTATCGCTCAACAACATGTCACACAAGTGTATTTCCTAAAATGTTTAGATTTTTACTTACACAGAAGGATTTGCCCTGAGTGGTTTTGCTGCTTCCTCCAACTCTGGAAACAACAGAATAATTAGCTGCTATCTGAACAGCTGAACAACAAGCAGGGGGTCAAACATGTGAACAGCAGCTCTCTGATAGTTGATGTACAAATATCCGTCCTTGGGTTGATTTTAGTTCCAATAGGGGAGAGTTCAGGCAAACAGCCATGAGGAGAATATCCATCATCATCCTCCTTTTTTTTCCTCATAATACTGAGTTTAAGCTGAGAGCTCACCTGTCTTTATCCACGCAGCAGGATGTGTGGAGGACGAGGACAAGGAGGGCCGACACCTGCCGGCATCTCATAAATGAATGTGCAGGGAGTCGGCGCCTGCAGGCGGCGGCTCATAAACGCACACAAATGACTCGGTTTAGCTGTTAACAGGCCGCTCACCTCCCAGACAGAGGAGGCGATCGAATACTGATGCGATCACGTCCGCCGCTGCAGATCATCATGGGCGGCGGGATGAAAGTCCAACAAAACACAGCGATGAGGGGTTGTTGACACCTGCCATATTCTACATCATTGTGCAGTGATTTCAGCTCTGCACAGAGAATGGAAGGTGTGTTTTTTTTTTTCCTCCCCCCCTATCGTTTGTCTGCCTCCAAAGTATTTTTGTTCAGTTGACGTTACCTAAGCACTTAGTGTGCATTAAGCATCTCATTGCACACTGTTAGCCCTCGCGCTCCGGATGGTAAATTGAATGTGTGTTTTTTCTTTTTTTTTTTTGCTGCTGAAGTCATTTATCTGAATCATCCCGATGAAATGTGGTATCGTAATGCGGCAGGATTGTGGAAAACCTCTTCTGTCGGTCTGTGCGTTCACTGTATTGACTGCGTTAGGGGGAAAAAAAAGAATGTGAGACATCTATTAATATCAGCGGTGTGACGTTTAACAGCTCAATAGTGTTAACGGTGTTACGTCGTGTGGCCAAAAGTATGTGGACGCAGACTGTTACTCTGGTGGTGGAGTTTAGAGCTGAAATGAAGAGCTGCAGCTGAGCAAACCTTCATAAAAACTAGTTAAACAATGAGTGAGGAGGCTATAAGTAGAGGATAAACAGCTGATAAGTGGTCTCAGCACTGGCAGGAATGTCTGTTTTGCAGGAAGTGCTCATAATCCTCTTGATGATCTGTGTGGTATTAATAAAGAGATGCATACCTGCTGGTAGTTATGAAGCAAAACTGCAATAACATTCTTAAAAAGGTGTTACTCTAGTGCAGCAAGTGCACGTTTCACACATTTCTCATTAGTATCTGGTTTAACCCTTTCAACACTAAGTACATGTGTGTTCCTTATACACTTCACACTAAGTATCTTTGACTTGAAATACCCCTTTAATACTAAGTATCTTTGGCTTGAAATTCATGATCAGATATGGTTTTGATTATTCACTCATAAGTTCTTTAGTAGACTTCACATCATTACATATCTGCTATCAATCAAAAGTAGACAAGTTGACGGTTAAATATATGTGGACGTTTACTCTTGTCAGATACATACAGGTGTGAAAAAGAAAAGGTCAAAATGAACTTCATAATTACCAGGGATATATGCAATTAATCATCAGTTCTTATATACTGAGACAGAAGCCAAAGTCTTGTAATTAGTTAGTTAGTTTTAATTGCTTGTAAACATTTCTGAAACGAGGTAGCAAAAATCCTTTTTGTCTGGTGATTTTTGGGGTCAAACAACATTATTTTACTTCATTTGTATAATTTATTTCATGACTGAATCGCTTGTTCACATACGGGGATTCCCACTGATAGCCAATCAAAATGAATGTAACACAAAGTCGCCATGTACCAGAGCTGCAGTGTTGAACGGGAGTCGTAATGCCAGCCTGCTATAGCGGGTTATAGTGTTGAAAGGGTTAATATGTGCGATAAGTGCTTTATATTTGCTTACTTCATCGCAATGATGTCCAGTTTCTTCCTACATTTAGAAAATCTATCCACATGTTCTCTTGTTTGCTTTTGTGTTGTAAAAAGCCGTTTTTATCTTTTCATTTGTTTGTGGCTGCAGTAAATCCTGGACACACAGTTTGTTTTTGCCCACTAGGTCAGGACACATGTGATCCCAGCACCAGCGTCGTCTGCTACAGTCGTACTTTTATTCTGCGCTGTAGTGGATGACAACCAGCGCTGCACTTCAAACGTCCTGCTGTGTTCTGACAAACACAAGCCTGTAACTCTTTCTGTCAGCGACTTCCAAAACATGTCTGCAGCGTTGACCACTAGAGGCACAGAGACTGCAACACTGTCAAAGTGAAAGACAGGCTAAAAGATAGACACACACACACACAGAAACAAACATGTCCACGGCCATTTTTTTTTCTTCTAGTTTTAATCCAGCCAGCACCAGACGCAGCGCTTCAGAAGCTTTTGTTGACTCTGTTGTTTTAGGAAGTGAGTCTCAGTCGGTTTACATCACACAGACCAACATGGAGTCTGGCATGTGTCTCAAAGCAGCTCCTCCGGTTCAAATCAACCCTGTTAACATGTCTTTGTGGTGTTGTTGATATGTTAGAAGAGACATCATGAGCAAAACAAGCTAGTGCTGAGCTCTGCTACCATGGAGCTGCAGTTTATGAATGAATGTTTAAAAAGAACAGATTCAAACTTCCAGGGTTTCATACATGACAACCTCCATCTGTGTTTTTCTTTTGCAGAATCAGTTTTCAGTTTGAACACATAGGGCTGAATTCCGTCAATATTACAACTTGTAATGTAATGTAGAGTAGTTTTACTGTGTTTGCGTTAAAGGTGAGCTGGTGTGCTCGAGCTGCACGACTTTGTGGATCTGCATAACTAGTGTACAGTTACATCTAAGCCAATTTAATGCAGGAAGGGATTGTTTTCATTGAAGAGAAACATCAAAATATGTACCTTTGACACACAGAGGTGAGTTTTTAGGGTTATAATCGATGATATCCATGATGTCTGACACCAGACAGATGTTTCATGAAGTGTGCAGGAAACATAGATCCCTAAACCATTAGGTGGTTGTTGAAAAATTTCACTAAAAAAAGCAGCTCGATGTTGCTGTCCAGAGCCACCACAGTCATCAGGATTCATCATGTAGGAGTCATGAATGAAGGAGCTCATGTGTTGGACGGTTGCTGCAGTAACTCAGTCTGAAACAAAGAGACTCAACCTAGAAATGTTTTTTTTATGTTCTTATTTTAACACCAGTTACATATAGTATTAACATGGATCTTGATATTGACATGCGATCATGAGTTTTTGTGTTTACACCTGCTGCTAGATTCTTCCTGCATCGTGATCAGTGAGAATAAAGAGGTGGAGCTGATCTTCCTCAGATCAGGAGTTTGTGTCTTCCACTCACTTTGTTTTATCGTGTTTACGGCCTTCTGTTTCAGTCGTACGGCACTTTAATTTGTGTTGTTTTTCGGTGTAATTTAAAAAATAAATGTAACTTTATGTGAGCCTGACCACGTCCAGATGTAGACGTAATGAAGAGGCAGGACTGAAGGGATTTAAGGCTGATCAGGGACAGATGCTGCTGGTTTGTGAGGAGGGAGTCCAAACCCTGAAAATGATTGAATAGTTGAATAGTTATGATCAGAACGCATGTTTGTTAAAAAAGAAATCTAACCCAGTAAAGGTGGAAAATAGAATTGATATGTAATATTTTGTCTCTAAGTATGTGTAGTGGAGGCAATAAGAATAACCTCTGTTTAGACACTGGTTGGGTTTTATCACCAGGTTCACACAGTCGGTGTTTATTACCCAGTATTAGAGTCGCTGCCTGTCACTGACATGTTTGAGACGGTGAAAAAATGCTCTTAGTGTTTAGTATTTGGAAAATACTCATATTTTGTGGGGTTTTATTCATAAAAAACATGAGTGATGGTATGTAAACAAACTCTTCAAAGAGTGAATATGTGACGGTTGTGATCAGCTCTTGTGTTTGGAACCATATCGCAGGTTTAACGTCGTGTGTCTGTGTGGAATAGTTTGTGAACAGTGTTGAAGATCCGTCGGTGAGTGGGAGCTGAAACCATCTGCATATTAAAATGAAGTTTTCACGGATTTAATGGGCAATTTGTTAGAAAGCAAACGTGCATTTTTCGAACAGCAGCCCCTCCACAAAAGGTTCTGAAGCAGATAACTAAATGCTCCTGTGTAGCTTGGGTTTGTCCCCCTCTCCTGTTTCAACACGACAACAGCCCTGTTGTCCCAGTTCGGTCTGGCCTGCTCAGATCCCTGACCTCAGCTGCATCCAGCCTGTTTGTGTTGAACTGGAGCACCGGCTGGGATCTGAACCTTATTACCCAACATCGGTGTTGGACCTCAGTGATGCAAAGCTGCTGCCAGGTTCTCCAATCTGGTGGAAAAACTGGAAGCAGAAGAGACTGACACACGTCATGTCCAAATACTTTTGTCAGTGTAGTGTCACTCTGTGTCTAGACCTCAAGTTTGTGAACAGGTTCTGGGTTCCTGAGTGTCGTCTGCTTATAAACATGAAGTAACTCGCAGTGTCAGTTGTTGTTTGGACTCACTTTCTGAATGTGTCTCCTCCAGACATCGAGCTGCTGGCCGCCTGCAGGGAGGAGTTCCACCGCCGGCTCAAAGTTTACCACGCCTGGAAGTCAAAGAACAAGAAGAGGAACACGGAGACGGAGCAGCGAGCGCCCAAATCTGTCACCGACTACGGTACGCTTATGAGCCTGTTCCTGTAAATCTGTCTCTCTCATGTTTGTCTGCTTTTCCAACAGTGAGAAGCTCTCTGTGCTTCCGTCAGCACAAACACAGTCTTCTGTTGTTCCACAAGAGCAGTTTGAGGTTTAATGTCTTGCTCAAGAGAATCTCAGGAGCAGCTTCTGAACACTAATTCTCCTTTTATATAACCCTGTGGGCATTTCATTCCTCACACGTTTCTCTTTCATGTTCTCAGTCACGCCTGAATTTCTGAAAATGTCTTAAAAGATGAAAACAGGCTAAAAATGTGGTCGGAACCAGAAGTTAATCTTGACAGAGCTGCAGTTTAGAGGCCAGACGTTAAAATTCTGTCAATGAATGATGGCGTGCTGGTCTAAGAGTATAAAACAAGTGTGTGAGGTGTGCACACAGACTCCTAATGTCAACCTCTTTTTGTTTCTCATAACTTTGGACAAACTGTAAACCTGAGAGCCGCTGCGTCTCCTCAACGTTTCCTTCCTTATTTGACCGGCCTTAATGAAGACAAACGTCTCTGACTCTGTGACAGTTTGTCGTGTTCGTCAGTCTCGACGACGCGAGGAACAAATGGACTCTGTCTCTCACCTCTCGCCGCCATCGCCTCATCTCCTTGTGCCGCACGTCGAGTTGTCATGACGACAAAGAGCTCTTATTCAGAGCCGTCTATTGTGTGATCCGCTCAGACTACTGATTGGACCGCAAGCCCACACACCCTCTTTCATCCTTCATCCTCGTCTTCCACTGAGAGTCGCAGCTTTTGTCCTGCTGCTGATCCGACATCCTGACACAAACAGCACTTTGAAGAACTGGTTTTAATGGGAGTCCTGGCTCTGTGTGTGCAGGCAGGTGGCATGTAAATATGACATCTGATCCAGGACCTTTGTCATCAACTTCCCCCGTCTCTCATTTTATCACAAAACAGGTTTTTTTTTAAATGTTGTGGTCAGTCACTGAATTTTAATCAGCCGCTGAATCGTTTTGTACATTCAGACCTGTTGATTTGCTCGAATATCTTCACAGCTTACACGTTCTGTCATTACAAATTGTGTTTTTTGTACACATCAGTTTTAAAGCGTAATGTGATCATCTGTGCACTTTACATTTTAGTTTGCTCCAAAATGAACATTTAGTTTTTCCTCATCAGCTGCACCTGCGTTTCCACCAAATCCAGCACTCTAAATAGTCAGTTTGATAGTTTGCATATTTGAATGAAAAGTGATTTTTATTCAAATTCAGTAAAAAGTCACTGTCCTCTATTTGGTTAACAAATTCTAATCATAGCAGTCTAAAGTTTTGTTGCAACTCCCTTCAGAGATGTGTTGAACACCGGCGCCCAGTTAATCGTTTGCAGTTTTTGCGCCTGATTCTGATGTTATCAGTCCATTAAATGCCTTTTTATCAGCACACATTATTCCCTTAGGGTCGGGGGAAAAAGTGCATTTAATGTAAAATCTTCAGAGATTTTAAACACTTGACAAAATGGAGCTTTGTAACATTTGGTTAAGGATGTTCTGGTTCCTAAACACCAAGTGAAAAACAGTGAGTGAGAGCGAATGTCAAGTTCTAAGATTAAAAACAAAACCATAATTATGGTTTGTGAAGGGGCTCAAACTTAAGTCTGTTTGGTGAAGGCGACACACTTTAGTTTCTCTTTCTGAGTGCTAAACCGTAGCTACATAAAGACCTTCTGAGCCTGTGAGAAGATGGAGAAGGTCCCTACCTGCCCACATGTAACACCTGTCTAAAGGTATGATGACATCCAAATTGGTGGATTGTTAAAGTTCCAGAGATAGATTTTGCATAAACACCTTAACTCTCCAAACGCTATACAAAGATTTAACACTTCTATAGCACACATTCACAACACAAGTCATCTCAGAACACTTTCCTTGTGAAGACCTTCAAATATCATTTAAGGTAACCCAACAAAACAACAAAGATTCCCTTTGATCAGCCCTTTGGTGACTGCAGAAAAACACAAACTCCCTTTAAAAGGCAGAAACCTCCAGCAGAGCCAGACTCAGGGAGGACAGACATCTGCCTGGACCAGCTGGGGTGAGGAAAGAGCAGACAGAGAGAAACACTCCAGCTGTGTTCTATTATACTGTCATTCATGATCTGTTTATTACTCTGTAATACACTCAAATATCTGACAGTGCACTTAATGGCCATTTATCAAATGTCCATACACTGCTCATGAATTCTGAATAAGAGGGCGTTAACATGAAGCGTTAACTCATTTGTCTCTCTGTGTTTATGGTTGGAGAGCTCCGTGAGCTAATTTCATAAAACACAATGTAGGAAGTGTTAAAGTAAAACAGCCCAGAGCTCCAGCTGGATGTTAGAAACACGTCTGTGATGTTTGGTTGCAGCATCTCGTCTGTTGTGTCGGGCCTGTGTTTGGTTTATTTCTTGGTGTCTGATCACAACATTAAATGCACCGTGCAGTTTATATTCTTGGCTTCATGCAGACAGTATAAATATATATGTAAAAGTCTGAGGCAGTCGGTGAAAACCAGCCACGCTTCGTCCTTGCATGAAGCTCACATTGTCTTGTAAGAATTCATTTATGTAAATCATAGCTGCCACCACAGCCAAAGCGTGTTTTGTTTCACATTATGAGACTGTTCAGTCTTCACAGAGGCGTACGCCTTCTGAATGCTTTCTAGCTGAAATGAGATTTTGATTTCAGGAAAATGCTTCACTCCTGCACCGAGCGGTCAGTCATCAGGTGGAAGCTCAGTTTGTCTTTTTCTCTTCTTTCATAGTCCACAGCTGAGACACACAGGATGAAAAGAAAAGCCAGGGGGAAGATAAATGATAAAGGTCGCAGGCTGGATTTTTAACCAGGACCTCTCAGATAAAATGTCCATATTATTACCTTCACTGCTAAAGCAAAAGCACCCAGAGGAGCTCAGGAGCTCCCAGAAAACGGCACAAAAATCTGGAGAAAGAGCAACGATATGTTGACCCGAGAAGAAAGCTGCAGCTGCTTCATGCTGAGTCCTCAAGAAACACATCCAACAAACGTCATTAATTCAAGCTGACAGGTGACCAGTGAGACATCTGAACCAGTTAAAGGACACCGACAGTAGATCCCATGAAAAGACTCAAACTGAGAATGTGTTCTCTTGAGACCAGATCACTGGTTCCAGATCTTTCAAACAGCGCACACAATTTCTAAATCAGCGACTCTCTGTAGTTTTGTAGGAAACAGTGTGTTTGTTGGTGGCTGTTTTTGGCAGCAGATGATCCACATTTGCTCTTGAACCTTAACCCTTGCGACCCTCCAGCGAGCACCAGATGCTGCTCAGATCTGAATCACGATGACGATGACGGTCTGGAAAGTGTCTAAAACCGTCCGAACATGGAAGCAAAGTGGAGAGGAAGCATTTTGCCTGATTGTTAGAAGAAACTCAGCTTCTAGTGTCAATGTGGACGTTCAGCTGAAGCTCGAAGGCGCTTCTCGGAAAACCAAACCGTTCTGCAGAAGAACTGGTGAAAATGGTGACCTACCAGATGTGAGCGTAGAAGTGGTGCTCCGGTTTTGCAGGTTCAAGGCGAGAACCAAAGAGTTGAGACACGTCTTTATATCTAATGTAACCTTTCTACACACACACACACGGTGCTGGTTGTTTGTTTTGTGTGAGATTTATTGAGACGTCAAATCGTCAGACGGATCCTTTAGAGAGTTCACGGAACAATCACAAGGTTTTCTAATATTGCAGCGAAATGTTCACAGTTTCCACCTGTTTCCAGTTTTTAAAATGTGACTGCGCTGCTAAAGTCTGCTCTACAGAACATCCTGAAGTGAGACTATTATGTAACAAGGACAACATGACACTTCATTCATCCATGTCACCTTTTCCTCTTCATCCTGTCACCACATCTGAACACATCTATTGTGACAAGTCACGGTGACACACGTGAACAATGTTTGTGTGTTCGTTCTCCATTCATTCCATGTTTTCATTGTCTGTGAAGAAAAAAACTGCATCTCACTTGTTTGATTGTTGCTGCTGTGTTGCATCACCTCCTGCAGTGTACGTCCGTGTAACCTGGCATGTTTACTTTCAGATCATGCGCCTCCTGTGAAAAAAGCATGTAAGTGGTCTTCTAGTGTGTAACGCTACTAACCGCAGAGCTACACCCCTCCCCTTTATTAACCCCCCACCTCCCACCCAACATGGCAGAGGTCTGCTCTTAACTGGGATCGCTGGTTTGCGCTTTGAGCTGCTCGGTTTGATGGAAAACTTCCTCTTTTTTCGGTGGAGGAGGAGGAGGAAGGTAGATGGGTTTCTGTGGCAACTGCTGCCCGTATTGAGACGTGTGTGGAAGAGATTATTTGAACAATTTATTTTGAGGCACCGCCACAGCCGGCGTTTCGTCTTTACGAGCCGGTGCTCGCTCTCGCCTCCCAACAGCCATAATGGTTTGATAAAGAGCCGGTGTTATTCCTCTGAGCTCTTAAGGCTGCCGGTATCGATGCTGGCACTCGGAGGAATTCTCAAGGAAGGAAAGGGGGAGCGACAGAAGGGCAGAGGGCTTTCAGGGTAGTTTGCTTGGCTTGTGTTTGGCGGCGGATGATAGCATCACGTTTAGGGGAGCATGACGGGAGGAAAAGGCCGCCGCACCCGCTGATTGGAAGAGAAACGCTGTAAAAGGTGCCGTCGCTCGAGCAGCACAGGCGCTTCAGTCCATTCACTCCCGACTTAATGAAGATTTTAGATACATAACGGCCCATTCAGCTGTGTCAGGCACCGCGAGCCTTATGTCTGCTGCAAATATTAAATTCTCAGTGGAGGTTCACTGATGAGGCTTCATTTGAAGGCTGATCATTGTAAACTACATTTGGCACAGACTAGTTTGAAAAGGCTTTTAAAAATTATTCAGACGATGCTGGAAAATCTTCACTGAAACCCAAAAAGACCAGGTTTCACTTCAACCATTCATTTGCTCTGTGGCACTTATCTAGACTGTTTTCTCCAGACTAGATCCTTGCTCATGTTGTATCTGCTCTCAGACTTTGGATAGAAGCGTTTGCTAAATGAAATTGTAGAATTGTTGAATCCAGATCACAAATTACTTCCATTCACCACTGAAATAGTCTTTAGATGTGTTTGGTAAGAATTTAGCATCTTCACTGCTGAGACACACAAAGGCTGTCGAGGTAAATGTCACCCGTTAACCTACATGTAAGAATCAATTAAGATTAAGAAAGACATGAAAATCTCAGGATTCCAGCTTCTTCATTTGAATATTTTCTGGTTTCTTTCCTCGAATTTAAAAAACAACTTATTTGAGAGCATAACTGACAGAATAATCGACAATAAAAATAATGGTTAGCTGCATCCTCACCAAATATTAAAAGCTGTAATAAACGTGAATAGATAAATCTGAACACTTTCTATGTTCCATGTGAGAGGAATAAAGAGAGAAACGGTCTTGAACGTAGACTTTGACACAAGGCAGCTCTGCAACAATTGACCCCACAATTCTGTTACTGAAAAAAGTCATGATTGTACATACTATAGATATTTTACTATTAATATTTAATTAGTTTCTCGTCTTAGTGGTCTCTTATCAGCTCTGTGTAAACACTTGCTGCAGTAGGGCTGATGAAAAGTCATTTTTATCACATCACTGTCAAAACTGAGTCACCTATGACTTGTGCAGAATGTAGTTTTTTTTTTTTACAGAATCGGATGCAAACTTTTTTTGTGTGAATTTAAAAGTGAATAAAGTGATTTTGCTGGAATCACACAATGTTAAGCTTAGATCTGGTTAGTTTTCAAGATGGAACAAAATGACACAAAATGAGTTTAAACACGGTGGGAAAGTTGAAAATTCTTCTTTCTGTTTTGACAATTTCTGTCTGTGGTTGATAGTTTAGTTTTGGCAATTAAAAAAAAAAAAAAAAAGATAGCTGAGGTTGAGTGTGTTACTAAATCAGTAGAGATGCTTAAAGCCGTGGCCTCTGGAGCCCATGAAGTCCACATTGTCCCCCAGGTAGTCACCCAACCTGGACCATAAAGCCCAGTAACACCACAAAATAGCTCACTGTAGAGCTAGAAGCTTGAATTGATAACACATGATTGTAACTGGTGAGCTAACAGCTAACATGCTAGCTGCTCAAAAGGGGATTTCAATTTCTACTCTTTCTGCACTGCAAAGTTTATCCAGTCTGACATTTTGTTCCCACAACAGGAAGACCAGGCCACCAAACCTCCCAGCTCTCAGACGAGTTAGCTTGGATGCTAATAGCCAGACTCATGTATCTACCTGGTGGTGCTTGATGGTTTTCTGTGATTTGGATGAACAGACCCTCTGAACCCCAACATACTCTGAGGCTTGATGAGAAACAATTGATCTACTAATGCGTCACCAAACAGATGAAGGTTTTACAGGCTTTCTGTCATTTTCCATTTCCATCAGGAGGTTGAACTTCAGCGTTGCAACGCTTCTGAGTGGATGCTATTAAATAACATGTTAAAGGCCAGCGTCGGCTCAGTGAAAGTTTAAAGTCCTGCTGTTAGTTTGTTGTCGGCAAAGAGACATCAGAGGAAATCGAGAAACCCGAGGTGAAATCACTTACTTGACTTGTTGGTGTCTCAGCCGCGGTTTGCGTCAGTGTTTGGTATCTATACCCCATGTTTCCGTCAGCCTTGAAGCCTGAATGCACCTCTCGACCCCTCATTGAGTCACCTCAGGCACTTTTGTAGCAGCAAGCCAGGAAGTACGACAAGCAGTAATCAGTGAATGCAGCAGAGAGTTAAGTTCAAGTGTCTCTGAAGAATACTTCTCCATTTATGCTTCTTTTTCTAAACAAAAGGGCTGATTTTGGGGTATTTTTGTTGGTGAGGTTGAAGGGATTTTTATTTTTCCTTCTAAATGTTGCTGACGCTGGGAGGTGAAGTTTGTTGGCGGGATTCTGTTTCAATTTTCTCGCCTTTTTGTGAAGGTGGTTGGAGGGCACATTTTGTGGGTGACGGTAAAATGACGTGTGGCTTTGAAACAGATGGTCCGTCTCATTTGTTTGAGGGAAAAACTCATTTTAACAAGGTGTTTAAATCTTGGAATCAATAAACTGTTTTTAACACGTGAAAGAAGATCCAAATGTCTTGTTTCCACTGCTCAGCTTGTGAAAAATGGAATACAAAAGGCAGTTTATTTCAACACAAGCTGGACCTTATTGGAAACAAGGGACGTCTTTCATATGTTTCTTGATTTAAAAGCTGAAGATGACTTGGCGAAATGAACGCCTTGTCTGGGTGCTGATTCAATCTTCCTTTATGAAGTAGAGAAGCTTCTTCAGTCTCTGTAGTTTCTTCCTTTACGCTCCACTTTGTAGAGAGATGCAAATGAAGTCCGTTTTATGTTTCACACGTGTTGGCAAACCCCTTCATAAACATCTGCTGTGCTTCGTATCTCGCTGATTTCCTCCCTCTGTCATCAGCACTGCTGTGATCTCCGCTGACCCTCCTCCAGCTCTAACAGCAGGCCTCACTGACGACACTTAAATATGGAGGCCAGGGAACGGCTTCATTATTCAGAGCCGATGCGAGCGCAGCGGAGCGGGCCGTCATGTTTACATGCAGCGGGTTAATGGGAAATGTACCCACTGAATGGATGTTGAGGAGAATCCATTTCTCAGCTTGGTTTCTTCATGATTGGGATTCTTTGTTCCATGTTTAGTTTATGTTTTCTCATTTCACACGAGTCTTATCCCACTGCTCTCACCTGTGTATTAATAAATGTAGAAATAGTACAAATGGAGCTTCAAAGCGCTCTGAGGTTACTGTGCTGCTGTTTGATACTGATGCTGCGTACACCGAGGCAAAACAAAACACAACACACAAACTATATTCTATTAATCTCTGATATACTGGAGCTGCAGGAGAAACCACAAACATCTCAAAACATCTACAAGTACATGATGCTCAGGGTAACGCTGCATTCACCTCGTCAGCAGAATGACACCAAGTTTTTTCCCAACTTGCCAAATCAATGGCGATCAACCATACGTTGAACTTTCATTTTAAAGACAAAGTTTGATAGTTAGGAAGGTCACACTTGCTTGTCAAGAGTCTTCTGTCAAGACAAATGCCACTCTCATGTCTGTAGGTAAACCTGAAGCTACAGTAGCGCGTTATTTTGATACAGACCGGAAATAGGAGAAAGCAGCTAGCCCGTCCGAAAGTTACCACCTGGCAGCATTGTTAATCAGTTAGTAGTAGTTAATAATTAACAGACGAAATCTGTATTAAATGATGAAGCAGAAGACAAAGGACATTCATGTAAGAAAATGTCAAGTACATTAGCTGTAGTACAGTGCTGCCCACTTAATGTCATACTGCTTTATAGAACATGCCGTTTATAATCATAAAACATTGAAGTCCTGAAGCATTCCCTATATAACCTCTAGTAAAACAGTCTGTTTATTGTTCTAGAATAATGTCATGATCCTGGTTTTTGTCATGACGAAATTCCCCAAAATCGATTCCAGGTGAAACTTTAGTCTGTTTAAAGTCGTAGTCGGCTGATTGTTATGGTTCAGGAGCCGAGTGTTGGTCATGCGTGGCAGATGATCACACCCCGGTCAGTTAATCCTGATAAGTTAATCCTCTGTATACCCTCTGATTAAAGAAAATAACTCTTATTGACAGGGTGGCTTTTCATACCGGCAAAGGTGAAATTTCACTGAAGCAAAACCTTGATCTTCAGACTGTCCCTTTGATCTTGTGAAAACATTCCCGTTTTGGCTTTACGTATAAACTCCCGTTTTTCGTCACACAGACATAATTGTCTCAGTGCTCTATTGCTGCAGACACTTCGATAGGCTAATCTTGAAGCCCACTTATTGGAATATCCTGGATATAGTCATAATTCCATTCTGGACCGAGGGTATGATAATAAACGGGCAGCACTGTACCTGTTTGAGCCACTAGGTGGATCGTTTAAAACCTTGAAAGACTGCAGTTTGTTGGCGTTGTGTAATTCTGTAGCGTCCTGAGGAGCAGCCACATGGACTTTGGGTAGTTTTGTGATGGAAGCAGAGAGCATCCTTTAGGTTTATCTTACAACGACCACCATGACCAAGACCTCTGTGGCGTTAACAGCTTCCAGCTAGCGCTCACATATTCAAGATTAAAATGCGCTCTTACAGCTGAGCGGCTAACGTAACGAAGCCGCCTCTGGGTCTCAGAATTTGCGTCCATGGCGCCTCATTTGTTTTAACGACTTACTGATTATTGAATAAATGTTTATTATTGGCATCCCAAGTCTCCGTACTGTCATAACTCAATACACAGGTTGACAAGCAGTTCAAACGTACATTTCCCATCAGCTGCTTCCCAAGCTGCATGTGAACACAGACGCTGACTGCTAATTGGTTGCAATCATCCGTAAAAGACCCCTAACTGTTTCTCCGTCCAATCAACAGCCCAGCAGAACCCAGCCCCGCCCATTCCGGCGCGGCAATATGAGGTGGCGATGAACCGGCAGCAGCGCTACTTCCGCATCCCGTTCATCCGGCCGGGCGACCAGTACAAAGACCCCCAGAACAAGAAGAAGGGCTGGTGGTACGCTCACTTCGACGGACCCTGGATCGCCAGACAGATGGAGCTGCATCCAGATAAACAACCCATCCTGCTGGTGGCAGGTCAGTACCACACAGAGAGCCAAGGTGGAGGGAAGCAGGGTTTAATATAAACAGACAGGTTTGACTGGCAGCCTGAAGAAAGAAAGGGAAGAAGATGTGGAGGTTAGAAAGGACGGACAGCAAATGTGTGGGAGGATAAACAAAGTCAAGGACGGAATAAAGAAAACAAGAATGTAGTAAAACAATAAAATATGGAAGGAGTAGGCATTAGGGAAGGAAAGGAAGGACTGATGACAGATTAAGGGATGAGGAGAAGGAAAGGAAAGAGGATGAATAAACAGAGAGAGACGGTAGGAGCAGAGATCCCATTTCCAAAGCTGATAAATTAGTCGTGCTGAGTTATGGGTGAAGATTTCCACTGGAGGAAGGACAGATAGAAACAAGCAAGAGGAGATCAAATGAAAGGGGGAAAGGAGGGACGGTGGCTTGGAGTGAGGAAGAGAAAATCAATGAGTCGATACCCTGACAGCCACAGAAACAGAGGAAATCAACAGTGGCACTTCATTGGTCGACTTTAATCAGCGTCCAGGACTGTGACTTTGTGCGAGTGCAGCAGATTGATGATCTCTGCTCATAATGCTCAGTCAGGTCGTCCTCCGCAGGGCAGCTGTAAAAACTGAGAGGCATTTATTTTTTAGGAGCCCTGTGCTGGACGCCTGGTATGAATCATCGACCAGGATTAGTTAAGTTCTCCTGTGAGGATGCTGGAAGTGGGTTCTTGTCAGCGCTCATCCGAACTTTACAGTCATGAGCAGCACATTCACGCTATTGACTCGATACATTCAGTAGATATTTCCGCTGCTTCACCCTTCAGCATTATCTGATGTCAAACTAGCCTGTGAAGACACGATGTAGGAACTACATAGTAAGTCAGATATGAAGTTACAGCCAAGCATTTACTTTGTATTTATGACTACCCACAGAATGTATGTATATAATTTAAAAACCTACGTATTTATCAGTAAACCTCACAAGTGAAGAAATAAAACCAGTTAATGTATGGCTCCATAGCTAGCCTTAAAGCTAAACTGTCTGCTTCCTGAAGTGGAAACATACACATATTAGAAAAACAAATCAATTTCATCTATATTTATCGGTACATTTTTCAGCTGTCCACTACATGTACAGATAAGTGCAAACTGAAATTGCAATGGCAGCTATTATATTCAACATTTTGAGACTTTTTGTCTTTGTTGCACAATTCGCCCACAACCATGCTCTTATCCAAGCTGCTTCATGCTCCACAGGGTCAGTCTAGTTTTCGCTTCCCATTCATTGTCTATCTGAAACCAGTGTTCTGGAGCGACGCAGGGAGTTTCTAGCGACGATGCATAGCGTCGCCTGCAAGCTCGTTTGCATAAAGTAGTGTTGACTTCAATTTTATGCAAATTTTGGCACACTCGCCCCTGTGGACACGCAGCATTGGCTTTGATAAGAATAAACTTTCCGCCCAACAAGCCAAACAATGCGTTCTCATCTTCCATCACTGCTCACCAAACTTTCTTGTGTGCTGAAGTTACTCAGTGTGCATCTTCTTCAGGGCTGATAAAGGAACTTTAGGTGCATTAGCGCCACCTACCAGCTGGAGTGTGAGCATCAGTATTACCAGTTTGCCAGAAATTAGGGAACCGAGACAGGTGTGATTACATGTGTTATTTTTTTCAACTTATCTTCTTTTATGTCATTAATCTATTGAAATTAACGCATTAATGTCTACTGTATATATTTGGAGTTAGTCATAAATGTCTTTTTCGCCACAGTTTTCTAACCACCATCACAAAACTACAAACAGGAAAATTCATTCAATGCAAGTTCAACTAAAACTGATCAAGTCACCGGTTGTTGCAGATTAAACTCAAACTAAAAGTAAACTTAAGATACATCATTTATTTTTGGACTTTAAATGCTGTGAGGGTTTTTCACCGCCACTAATTTTATCTTTTTAATTTCTGTGCAAAAATGAGAGATTTTACCACCTAAAGTTACCCCATTTAGCATTTAAAAACAGTATATAAACACTTAATGAACAGGTAATAGACGACAATTTAGAAAACACAGCTGTACTTATATAAAATCATATATAAATAAACAAACGGCTAGTGGTTTTTCCCTGCTTCCGTACTACTTTATGCTAAGCTAGGCTAACCATCATGAGTTCAGCTTCGTACTGAACACACATCAGATTTATATGAATCTTCTCATTTCACTCACACACGTATATGACCTGAAATGTTGAACTATTCCGTTAAAAGAAAAGGAGAATTACACACTGGCTGTAAACAGGACTGTAAATTATATTATTAAGTTATACTGTATTTTTTTAGATGTGTAAAGTTTTTATTTTGTATTTCACACTTAATATCCTCCTGGTTTTATACATACTGTGAATCAAATTGACACTTAAAGATAGACTTCGCAGCTTTCTCCCACAGACGGTTAAATTAAACGAAAATAGTAAAAGTGTGAAAAGAAGCTGTAAAATCCCAGATTGTACCGAATGATGAGACAAAACAACACTTTAAAAAGCACACACACAGAAAAGCAGTTGTTTTGATCGCCCATCTGTCTGAACATATGTGTGAGTGTCGATGAGTTCAAACATCACGACTCCTACCAGCGTTTCTCTCCACTTTATTTGACTCGCAGTCATCTGTGGGTTGAGGAACATTTGTGAGCTCTGGGTTTATGAAACCACGTCGCTGCACGCCGTGATTTAAACACTGTGTGGTCGTCGGGTCTCCAAAAGCTCATATTGTAGTGAAATCGCTGGTGTTTTGCAGCAGCAGTATGTGGGTGAGTAACTGCCTCATGCGACACTTGGATAACACACTGCTGTTTCTTGTTATTGCCTTTACGGCTTCAGATGTTGTGTGTTTTACGGACTGAATGTAAATTTCAACCATTGAAAGTGTTCAGAGGATGAAATATGTTGTCTGCTCAAGTTTAGCTGCTCCTGTTTTGCAGGTTTTATCCAGACAAAGTATTAAAAAAAATCATCAATCAGCCTGTGACATTTAAACCGTCATCTTCCGATTATACTAAATCAGTCTGGAATAAATTGTATTTACTTGTTTAACTGTGATACGTCTAGTGGGACAACAACAGAAACTGGTATTTACTGTGAGTCTTTTGTTTTGCTCGACTATTCCGAGCATTTATCTCCTTATATTAGACTTCTACGTCAAATATCTCAACATATCACACATAACCATGTAACTGTTAGCACGATAACTAAAGTATATGAGCACGCTAACATCTCAAAAAGTAAAGGAAGTGAGAGAGGCACTTTTTGATGCTATTATGGGCCCTTTCTGTGAGTCTGAATATCTGCAGACTTCCCAGAAGGACTTGCCCGTAGTTCATCCAGTGAAATCAGTCATATATAAACATGGCTGTCCTGCACTACACAAACAAATACTTTGAACGTGAAGTTATCTTTAAAAACAGGTTAACAACACTCCAGTGTTTGCTACAGTCGTCCTCAAATGTATTCACACCCTCCCGTTAAAGAAGGAAAAACCAGCCGTCACTGGAATAAGTTGAAATTGACGAAAGTAAGAATGAATAAAAATTTAATGAAAATCATGACATTGCTTTTGAATTGTGGTTCAACAGAAGTATTAAAAAAAAAAAAAAAACAAGCAAACAAGCATGATGGGACCCGTAAACTAATATTTAATTGAACAACTCTTTGAGCCAATCAAGGTTTTCTGTAACTCTCCGTCAGACTTCTGCACCTGTTGACAGGTGTTTTGATTTTGATCAGCAAAATGCTCTGATTTGTCCAGCACAGTTCTGTTTTGTTTTTTTTGTTTTTTTTTTAAATTATTCTTCTCAACCACAATTCAAAAGCAATGTCTTATTTCACTAAATTATAATTTATTAAATTTTTATTTATTGTTACTTTTTCAGTTTCTAATTATTTGAGTGACTATTGTTAATCTTTTCTTTTCCTTTAATAGAAGGGTACGAATACATTTGAGGACGACTGTACATGTTCAGCAGGTGGCTCGTGGTTTTTAAGCAAACGTGGCTTCAGTTCACATCATAAAGTGTCGATTCGTGGTTTCCTAGATTCAGAGTTAAATGCCGGCCGTGTCTCCTCTCACAGGGAAGGACGACATGGAGATGTGCGAGCTGAGTCTGGAGGAGACGGGCCTGTCGAGGAAGAGGGGCGCCGAGATCCTCCCCCGGCAGTTTGAGGAGATCTGGGACCGCTGCGGCGGCAACCAGTACCTCCGCAGCGCCATCGAGAGCCGGCAGGCGCGACCCACCTACGCCACGGCCATGCTGCAGAGCATGTCTAAGTGACGGGGCCCGGGGCTTCGCACTGCACACAAAGGGACGAATGCACCAGCTACCTGACACAGATGGCGTCTGGGCGCACTGCACCAGGTTCTGACTGCAGGGCATTCAACGCGGGTTTTCTCAACTGTCCTTTTGTTCTTCTTTTGTCGATAAGTTTTTGTTCTTGCTGGCTTTCAGTTCCTCGATGGGCAGGGAAGTTTTGCATTGAACCCTATGCAGAAAAAAAATCATACTAAATGATCACATCCGGTTGTTTTCCAAGGAATTCTGTTTTCTGTAACATTTCTGCAAGTCTAACTATGAGGCCTTAATACTACTTTAACAGGGTTTAATTGCCGAAAAGTAGGACTTATTTTTTTGTTCAAAGCTGCCTCCCCAAACCAGAAAACTTTTAATTCCTCTGTAATTATGCATTCCTGATGATTACACTGAAGTCTCACTGGTGTGTCGCTTCCATCTTAACAGCTAGCTGGTGATCCCTCTCCGACTTAAACCTGCTGTTTACATTGTCTTCATGTGGTTCTTACAGGGCAAAAAAAAAAACTTGCACAAGGAGTCGTCGGCTCTCACCGTGAGGCAGTGCTGCATGAGTGTCAGATTATTCCACTCGTAATTAAGTCCAATATTTGCTAATACGTTTTTTTTTATTTTACCTTTTGTCTTTCCAACCGAATGTAACTCGAGACCTCGTTGATTTGTTTATGTAGTGATTCCTCTTTTCTTCTCATTATGTGTGATTTAAATTAGTAAAGCTAATGAGAAAGGTCCAAAAACGTCTGACTTTGAGACCAAACGTCGCTCTCAACATTAAACCTCGGTCGGGTTTTTTCGTCTAGAGCAGCTCCGTGATTAGTTTCTGTCTGTGTTCATCAAGCAAAGCAGAAAATGTGAATCAATTATGCAACTGCTGAGATACAACTCCACACGTTGCTGCTGTTTCGGAGCAGATCAGCGCTGCAAAAAAATCTCCTCCACAAACTCAGCCATGCCATCTTCAACGTCTTCGAATTTGATCTTTTCAGTAATTTGCCAATGCAGTGAATCCCAAGGTAGTTTCACACATTCTTCATTGACGTTATCTTTAAGAAATAAATCATTCCATCAGGCTGTTTGTTTCAAAATGTCATTTGATTCCTTGAAATTTGGTGTCGATTGGACATTTTCCTGCTGTGTGAGAAGCTATCGAGCGTGTCGTCAACTCTGTACAATGCACTGGTACTCAGCCTTTAACTGGAACATTCACTGAATATTTTCTATACAGCAAGTACAGTACGTGCAGCCGACAGTGATATCCCTGCTGGAATGTAAAAGTTTATTTTTGAAAGAACAGTGTCTCCTTCAGTGGCTCGGGCATGTGAGGTCGTTCAGAGAAGCAATAAACCACGCAAACTAAGCGACGAAGGAAAACCCAGGTCTCCTCTGACGTGTACATATGAAACAATAGACAATCTGTCGTGACGTCACACCGCGTTCTCTCCCCGAGGCTGCTGCGTTTGTTCCTGAGCTCTCTCTCTTCCCTTTGATGCTCCCCACAGAAAAAGGTGACTTAGATTGTCTGACAGCATGAACATCCGTCTTGTTGAAGAGTTGCTGATCGCCTTTGTAGACGGCATTAACATGCAGGAACGCAGGCTTAAAAATCAATAGAGTCAAAGTGGCCAGGATGTGCTGAAGGTCTGTGACGGCAAAGACGGAAAGTTCTGATTTGATGCTGTGCAGGTCAAACGATGGCTGCACGTCTGGGTTCAAACCGGCGAAATCTGGCTGAAATGAACGATTTTCATCATGAAAGTCCAAACTGGATGTCGTCATGGAGACATTAGACAGACAGAGGACGTTATAGCAGAACTAAATGTGAATTCAGTTCAGTCTCCACAATCTTGATCTGCAAATCATCAAGTCAGCTCTTCCTGTGAAGGTTTGCATGTCTGACGTTGGTTTTATACGGTAATGAATCAACACATCCGTCTACAGCAACAACGACTGGACGCAACTGTCATCCTTTAATAAGCGCTCAGCTTCCCACCACTGATTTGCTTCAAGCAGCTCAGGGTGTCTGCAAGTCTCCAAAAGCACTAAATTCAGTTTCCTCAAAAAGTCCTTTAAAGGGAATAAAAGTCTTCAAATGAATTTTACAGGAGCCTCGATTGTTTTCTCCCTCCCTGCTGCAGACAGTAGCACTAGTTTAACTTGTTTGTATGTGACTGCAGCTGCCAGAAGACATTATTGTGCTGCGGGAGGCTGTTCGATCCTTTTCTATGGAGTGTCACTGCAGCAGCAACAACATCAGCAGCTCACAAAGAACACGTCCAGATCCTTGAATGTGGATTCATTTATGTGGGTTCAAGTAAAGTTCACTGACATGACGTCTGACGATGAATTACTGTTGTACACGGCTGGGAAGTGCTGACACAAAATGTGATATTAATGCACTTAATTAGGCCTAATTATCTCTGTTCGTTTAATTGTGAAACAGGTTGTGGTAAATATTGCAAAAACCTGGAGCAGAAACAATATTGGAGTCGTAGTCATTACAAGCTACCGAGCTGTAAATAGAGTTCACCTCAACTTCCAAGTTCTAGTTATGACTGTGGAAGGAAGAGTTTTCTGAAAACTTGCCACGTAATGATACAGAAAAGTGCCTGAAAAGCCCCAAAACAAGGACGCCTCCCTCTCACCCACCAAAGACCAACTGAACCAAAATCCAATAGACAGTGTCATTGCATCAGCCTAATTGCATGAAGGCTCAAAGTTTCCCATCCAGTATTTCCTCCAGACCAATTTATACTGAGCTGTGAACGTTGTTAAAATACATCTAAGTGTGCAGCAGCTCAACAGACAGAGTGTCGGATGTCACAACTGGATTTTACTGAGTATTCTGGTGTAAAATTTCAAAGAAAAAGCATCAGGAAACCTGAGCCTTGTGGACGAACCGTTCAAACTGAAAAATTCAGTGATGACGATTTCATTCTCCATAAAATCCTTTATGACTGCAGCTCACTCCTCATCAGCTGTGGTTGTGACATCGTTGCTGTTTAAACTGTCCAGAAACACTTGTTCTGATTCAACTCTGGGTGCTTCAGGCACACGTTCAGACACTGCAGTACACTCTGGCTTAGATGTGATCCTCACCTTGAAATCAAATGTCTTCCTGTGTCCAGGCCTCGACTTTCCTTCTGCTGGCTTTTCTCTTTGTGCTCCTGTTTGTGCCTCTTGTCTCTGGCTCCACTTTTCAAACACACAGACAGTAAAGAACATTTGGATCAGTTCAGGTTCACATGGAGTCACAAAGACTTCAACTGTAGTTTATACTCAACTGAAGTTTGGTTTGAATTTGGCTCTGTTGTAGTGGTTAAATAAAGTCCTACCAGGAACAGGACATGTATGGACTTGAGCATCTTGTCCAGAATCTCAGTAGGATACATGTAGAACAAGGTGAGACGAGTTCTCCTGTTTTGCCTGCATGTTAATGTCGAGCGTAAAGAGGCCACGTTCTGAACTTTGCCTGTGATTAAGACCTCAGTATTTGTTTTAACATCAGAGTGATGACCTTGAAGTATTTCCCCCAAATGTACAAGAAAATGTCGTGAGTTTGCTACGATCTGTTTCTCGCCACAAATTACAATCATTCCTGGGGAAGCACTGCCTTTGTCCACTGTCCATTTTTCTAACGCTGATCTCTCTAACACATGAATAAATGCATTCCATGTTTCACTCACCTCTCTGCTCTTTCTTTGACTTCAGTGACGCTGCTGCTGGAAAACAAAACCTGAGAGGAGCTTTTTTTTGTTTTGTTTTGTTTTTGTTTTTAAAAAAGGAAGAAAATCTAGTTTTTATTGAACTGTTTGTATTTCCAGCTATTGTTTACGAAACTCAACACATGAATGAATCTTTTAACACTTTAAATAAGAAAAGTCCACATTACAGTCACAGGGTTTTTCCCAAAAGCAGCAATAAACATCAGCACGTGTTGACGAGAACAGTGACACATTATTTACATGGAGTGTACAAGAGAAAACAATGACGGCGTTTTGAATCTATTAACTCACAAACAGCTGATCCAAGTGAAGGTACATGTGAGCAAAATGAAACCTGAGCTAAAGATTTAGTTACTAACCGACAGGTGAAACGTCTGCTACGGGGTCAAGTCAGGTGGCTTCCTCTGCAGATCCAACATACAAAAGTTATGCCATCTGTAAGCACACTAAAAATAACAGCTGTTCATTTATACACAACTATTTTTGGTCTGACTTTCCTGTTTTCAAAACCATAACATACTGTATCGCAGCATTCCTATTGCTCAGGGTCCACGGGCTCAGCCTTAAGTTGAATAATCCACACAAGTTCTAAAACCAGGAAAGAGAAACCAGTTTATTACTGGCACATTAACGCCAGCTCAGGTGTCCCATTAAACTGTCTAAAAGTTAACCCACCCAGTCCAACCAATCAGATTCCAGATTTACAGTAATCCTTGAATAATTCAAAATAAAAATAACTATGTTTGATAAAATAATTCTGACCCAAGGTGCACTTACTCGATTTCCCTGACCTTCAAATCATGCTGTAAAAAACTAGACGTCGAGTTCAAGAATAACTAAACTGATGAATGTTAGTGTAAATGTCACAGTTGTACAGTTTCAGGTTTTGTGGTCGACGTATAATTAATGTGTGATGAGTTTTTGTTGTGCTTCTCTTCACTTCGTGGCTCTACAGCTGCCTTTACCAGGCCGTCCTTTAAACCAACAACTCTTGGATAAATGACAGACGGCTAATGGTGTCTGGAGAGCCTCTCTGTCATTTATGTCAACAGCTACTGAATTCTCTACAGGTATTCATGGTCCCCTGAGGATGGATCCCGGAGACTTTCGTGAGCTCCTGATGTTTCCTCCGACACCGACATGAGGTCGATATTGATGTGTGGAGAGAAATACCTCAGCAGCTACTGGACGGACTCCTGAAATCTGGTTCAGACATTCCTGTTTCCTGCAGGATGAACCGTGTTGACTTTGGTGATCCTCTGACTTTTCCACATCTGATCTAAATTTGAATCCTGTAAAACTAAGTCCCTACAGCCTCAGATGCAATATGTTAGCATAGTAGCACGCAGCATCCCAGTTAGCTTCAGCAGGGTGATAATGCTCCTCATCATGCATCAGATTACTGGCTCCCAACCTGGGGATTGGAACGAGAAACCTGAACCAAAGAATGATTAAGGGGATCATAAATCTAATAAGGGACGTGAGAAAGAATATATACCGGGTGATTTCACCTCCAGTTGTCCTTCGAATCAAATCATCGGAGAGGAAAATACACGTTTTGGTTAAAGTTCCAGAACTCATGTCCACACTGAGGCCAGAGCCGGTACTGACGGTGATGAGTTGGTTTTCAGGAAACTCAAATGGTTGCTTCAGTCATCACTACTGCATCTTCAGTACAGACATGGTTCAGGTGTACGCCGAGTTTGAAAGCATCTCTAAATGCGTCCAGAGAAGCTGATTTATAAATTCTGAAATAATTTTAGGGAACTGTGAGCAACAAAAGTGCATCCGTAATGTGATGTCTTGTTTTCTAATTCCATATTTGTGAGAGCTATCAGATTATTCCCTATTATCTGTCACCAGCCTTGACCAGCCTATTCACTACAGACGCACACTGAGTCAGCAGACATGTAGAAAAACAGTCCAGAGTCAATCAATATCAACCCCATGGATGTAGCGGAGTCGTCCACTCAGCTCCTCTTCATTGTCAGCTGCAGACGACGGCTGTCCGACAGTTTTAAAGTGGCCCAAACGTCTGTTTCCCTTGAAGGGAGATGGTCCGTTGATATGAAGCTCTGAGGAGTTTGGAAGCCAACAGTTTGTCCAGAAACCTCCTCAGCTCCACATCCACTCAGAGTTTTAACCCAATCACTGAAGGAGTCCCAAGTTGGTGCTGCTGAGTCCTGTTTCATGGAGTCTGCAGGGACATGAAATAGCATTAAAGGGGCATTCCACCAGTTTTACATGTAAGTCAGTTTACTAGTCACAGGGACTTGGGCTTCAGCACTGCAGGCTTTTAACAGTGTTGAAAACTGGAGATGTGTTTGAAAGACATGACAGATTCATTCCTGTATTTCCCATCATGTGACTCAACAGTCTATTTTAGTTCAAAAGAGATGACTCAGATGATTTACAGTATAAAGTATGACAGTGAGTACACTCCTGTCAAATGATTCAAAACTGTACCACCTTGTTGCAGTTGGATTACTGTGAAGTTAAACAGCAGGTATGACAAATTAAATTACAATGAAAACACAGGCCCCACAGTAGGAACTCAATATAACATACTTTATATGTCCACCTTTAGTTTGAGGACGTTAACCTCACATGACCTTTGTTTTTGATTCTCCTCAGGATGCTGCACACATTTCTGGAGAGATGTTCTGTTTGTTTTTTCAGCTTCTCTCTGCTGGAGTGGTTGTGTCGCTTCTTCTTTCTCTTTAAAATACCCTGGAGATGTTCTACTGGATTCAAGTCAGTCTTTTACAGGTCA